TTGTCTGAATACCAAGCTTCCAGGAATTCCCTCGCATTTTTGGATTTAGCTTGGTCTAAAAGGCACTCTTTGAATCCTCCCACCTTGTGTTATACAGATAATCTGTGATAATGGTTTAAACAGCTTGCAAAAATATTCTAACTTAATTCAGTACCTGCAATCTGTTTCAGAGAATTCATCCAACTGTATTCAACTATGGATTTTTGTGTAATAACAAATTTTTGCTTTAAAACCATACCCCAAGAAATCAGTGTTTTTTCCTACTATTGGATGTATGTCTGATGAGGCATGCTGCTTTGTATTACATTTCAGGCCAAGCTCTTCATTAAAGAGCTAGGATGTCCCAGCGTTTTTTAGACTAGTATGACTAGCCTGATGGTGCATATTAAATTATGGGCATGAGCTTATACTGCCGTGCTATAAACCAGAGGAAGCAGCCTGTCCCCAGGCCAGAGTATTTATTTCTCTAGCAGATATTGTCTAATCCAACAGGCAGTGGCTCTCTAGGATTAGCCGTCGCTTTTTGACCTTTGACAACTTTTTAACTAGAAATGCCAGGGATTAAATCTGCAACCTCAGCTATGGAAAGCACATGATATTCTTTGATCCTACATTTCTTTGCGTGATGGGTCATCTCTCACTGATAAAATGTCCCGTCCCCTTTCTGTGATCCAGGTGCGGAAGTGGAACAGGGTGGATAGACTTGCAAGAGGCTACATACACCAAACGTCTAAGAACCCAGGAAGCAGCTCTGTAGTCTCTGACAGTCATGCTTCTGAACTAGGATCTCTCCCACCCCCACCACACATTTGTAGATCCCCAAGAAATAGGTCTTTCTCTCCACAAAAGTGACCCACTCCACTTGAGTCAGCTGAAGCCACAAATAAAGAGATGGAAATGAGAGCAATCAAGCTCAGTGTTATAGGCCTTAGATGGTGTTGTATCCTTGTCCAAATTTATGAATGGCCTCAAGCAACATTTTCATATGGCTGCCACATGACATGACAGGTAACACGAGTCCTGCTTCAACTTATCTGCCAAAGGCTGGGGGTGGGTGGGTGAGCAGCACTAACTACATTTTGTGATCTGCTCACGTGAGAGAACCAGAGCTAACATTTAAATATTATTCACCGGAAACCTAAGAGGCATATTGTAAGGTTTTCTTATTAACATTTGTGTTCTAATTTTCCAAGGGTTGAAGGTGAAGAACAAACACGTGTCAGCTTGAACTGTTCTCAGCTAGCTTTGTTACAAGTGGTGGCCTTGCTTTCCCAGAATAGCCTCCTATATCAAAAGACTGAAATCATACCACTACACAAGGTAAACCGCATACAAACAGATCAAAGTATACTTTTACACAAAGTTTGCTTAAGAAAGAAGTATGCCCAATAGCTGCAAAAAGAATAAATCAAGATGAAGCAGTGTGATGGAGGAGGGCTTGGTTGCATCTCTTTTTAGCAAGGAAGCCAAAGAAATGACTTAGCAAAGAGATGTTTTGTTTCTAGCAGAAATAAAAAGGATCCTTTGCAGATACAGCTGCAGCTTCCTAGCATATCTTCAGTAAGTTTGAAGAAAGTGCCAGTAAGAGAACAGATTGCCGAGAATCTGGCTGTATCAGCTGGATCATATCTTTTCAAAAATGGGGATCAGCTGCTGCTTGTTCTCCATGTCAGCAATTCCTGAGAGAATCCAAGGTACAACCTCGAATGATTGCAACATCTGTTGTTGTTGTTCAGTTGTTAAGTCATGTCCGACTCTTCATGACCCCATGAACCATATTGCGCCAGGCCTTCCTGCCCTTCACCACCTCCCGAGTTTGCTCAGTTTCATGCTCATTGCTTCAGTGATGTTATCTAAC